GTAATATGCGGCATATTTCAGTGGCCGACGCCATAAACTAAAAATTAAATTTTTAATTGACTTACAAAATTACTTCTCAAATTTCTGTATGAACAATAATGAGATGAAATATGAAGTAGAAGGTTTCATATCTGTGCCAATTCAAATAAAATATAAAAAATATTTTATTTCACCCTGAACATAGGATCAGGAATACTGCTGTACTTACTTTGATGCTGTATCAAATTAATGTCGAATAGGTGAACTGAATTGCTGTTGGCTAACAGCAAGCACAAAACAGTATTAAGAGACGAAGTCACTGAGTATCGGTTGCGGCTTGAGCATCAAATACTATGAACAGTTGGAGGGACTTCTGAATTTTCCTGTTCGTTTATTAGCACAGGCTTAGGACTGGCTACGTTGATGCAGCGTAAAACTCTCAGTTGAAAAGAATACAAAGTAATGACGGTACTCGAGAATCACGTAGAAATGGCTTGCCTGGATCGCCCTCTACAACTAAGCGAATGTGACACTGTCAAAATGCCGTGCAACAGCGTTGATGAAACAACGTAAGTTAGGATCAAAAGCTATTAAAAACGTAGTAAAATACTACTGTGACTGAAAAGAACGAGCAAGTGCAGTCGAAACCCGCTCCTGCTTTGTGGTAATGGCTGTGTGTACGTAAGACAAGCACCCAGTTTAACGGCAATTCTTACCCTCACGAGGGCAGCAACAGATTATAATTAGAAATTTAGTAATAATTAACAAAGACAAAGTATATTACGTGTTCCGACAATCGGTTTCGTTCCTGTTCGGTTTCTGAGTTCCACCAGGACATGTCGTGTGTCGCCTTCTGCGCCATTGTTACCACAGTCATTGGCATTTTACCGAAGTTCATGCTTGGAAAAAGGCTTGCAAATTCTGTATCGTCGCATAAATCATAGGTTCAAGACAGAGAAAAAGGACTAGAACGCACTAGAGTGTCTGTCTTACCGTTTTTCATCGCTGGTGGTAGCTGTTTGCCGCGGAATTCGACCGTCAGCGACTCAACAGACTGCGGAGAAGACTGAGTAGTAGCCGTCTCCTGAGGCTCGACATGTTGCAGCATGTCCAGCTGTTGGCCCTGCGCAAAGTTCGATAATAGTTGCGCCAACTCTCGCGACACATTAGGCTGCAATGATAAAATACATTAAATCAAAATATAACAAATACGCAAACATAGTACAGTGATTAATCTCCAAAACTATTGCGCCTCCATTTTCTGCAACACATACGGATACAAATTTTGGTAAAGTTTTAAAACTCTACTATAAATTTCTAACCGCATTCTATAATAAACATTTGGCAGGCTACAGTTCTCAACTGCTAATATTTTACAGTTTCTGAAGACACCAGAAACAGGTATTACCCGAAACGAGGTTCATTCTATAACCGCTGTGGTGACCACTGTTAATGAGCTTTCTTTCAGTCGACAGATCATAAATCCAATGGTCTGAACATACGATCAGTATGCAAAGCGAAAGAGTCGAAGGATATAGTTTCTTGTCATTCACATGACAGGCGGCCGAGAGTCAAGCCTAGGTCTAGACGACTAGCATATACCTTACCAGTTGGCACCGTAGGGCCTTGGAAATCGGTCCACTGGGATTGATAAACTAGGAGAAGACCAGAATTACGAGAAAATCGTCCCGAAGCTACGGTATCCGCAACCAGAAACAAACACCATGCGTTAAATAGAAATATATAAATGGAGAGATGGTTGCAACTACCTTCTTCAGCCAGTAACTCTTACACGGATCGGATGTAACAAAAAGCAACTACTGATTTTGCACAGAGTAACGCTCATGTTTAATTTTATCAATCCATTTTTGCTTGTTTATTATATTTTGCTTAATGCCAGTCTGCTACTGTGTGAAAGAGCAGTAAACATTTGTCACTATGAATAAGAATAACAGAATATCCTTGTTGTTCAAGAGACTAAAATTAAAAAATATTGTCATGTTAAATAAGAAATATTACTCAAAGTTGCTCAGATCTTTTATGGTTTAATGTGTAAAACAAAACACACTAAGCGTACAGAATCTGAATTTTTCGTTCTGGATCATAGACGATATGCATATAAGGAGTGAAACCAAACCAAATAAAATGCCACAAAAACCTGATGAAGTTATATGCGATATGATTGTTACCATACAGGGTAGGGTAATCCGTACTCATAAGAATGGCCTGGTTCATATCGGCATACACGGAAATTAATTTGCTTTTCAGCCCAAACCGACACTGCAAGAATCTGCTTTTCAGTCCAAACCGACACTGCTTTTTATCATATTACTATTACTATTTATTACTGTCTGCGGCTAAGTCTTTATCAAAGTTACAGAGTAAACTTTAGCATGCAGGCATGACAGAATGCTGAGGCTCAAGTATAGGAACAAGTAAAACAATAACACAGTAAAGACGCAATATCAGTATGGATCGAACCACAGATCAATTTCAGATAATATAGACATAGACTAGTGTATAATAGTACGGACGGATTGCCATTCTAGACGATAATCTCATCATATAAGACAGTTTCTGCAATTTGGACTCCCATATAAAGAATTCAACTGCTGCTTCTAAAGATATAAACAAATAACAGAAAATGATAAAATTATAAAATTACTAACGAACATGCAATTGCCAGCATTTGGATCATTCTCTCATGCGGTACAAAGAACCAGAGTCGCTACGGCTCAAATCACAGCCAGAACTGGAGGATCGTGGCCTGTCTCGAACTTACAAATTTACCGATAAGGACAATGGCCAATATTAACCGTTTCCGCGATATATTGTTAACAACATTGGACCTGAAGAGCTAAAGTCACATAAATCAGATATCGTATATTGTGACTTGGACATGGACCGATCACGGCTTCTCCGGTTTGACGGTACGCCATTTAAATCTTGCTATGGCAGTTTTGGTGACAGCCTATTTCGCAGCTAATGGACATACATTAGGTGGCTATATTACTCTGTTCAGAATATTAATACACTCTTGGCCAAAAATTATGCCGGTAAAAGAATGTAACCTAACCATGCACTCTTATTTATAAAGTTACCAGCTGTGAAGAATTTACAGATGGAATTGTATCATCTGTATCACAGTTTTTCTGCATATAAAAGAAATAATATCACTGAAGAAATGAAACTTTCCACTTACTGTTACATGCTGGCATGGAACAATGAAAGGAACGAAGATATTCATAATTTGCAGTTCAGAAAGAATAAAACAACGAGGTAGAAAAAAACAACAGACGGAAAAAGTTGCGAAAGAAGAACAAGGAAAAAACATCACATGAAAAAAAAGATATGCTACATTAGGCATAGTCAGTGCTGCTTAATTGCCTGAACACTCGGCGAATGCAAGCTAAAACTGATGTAAAGAATAATGGAATGTAATTCCTGAAACATAATAAAGCTCTTATTCCATTCCCAAAAGAATAGCTTCGTCATAACAGATATGATGACCTACACATATCTTAAAATTCCAACAGCAACCGTTATCATCATTGATTAATTTTACATCACATTTACTCTGCTGAAAACAGCCGCCTTTGTTATACCATACATTCAAAAACCAGCTCAAATACAAAACAATCATTTTCAATCTCATTCGGGCTATATCCTAGGCCGACGTGGCAGCTGTTTTCGTCACGTCATAGAAACCTACTAATGAAGTCATTCTGGTTGACGACAGAACGCTTGTCAACATGTCAATTAATAACAAACGAGTTCTTTAAATTTTACTACCCTTTCAACCAATTTTTATACCTGTCATCAAAGATTCATAATTCAAACGAAAAGTACAACTCCCTCACAGCTGTTTCAACCCGCAGGACAGCCAGCACTCGCTGAAAGAAATGAAGTTTATAGAAATTAGTTTCTGACTAATCAATAGAAGCAACGGCTCACAGAAACAAAAAACATGATAGGAAAAACATCAGCTTAGAAGGCACCTGACTTTGAAGCAAAGCACATAAACAGGCACAAGTCGATGGGCAACTGTTTATTGATTAACAATAAAAAAAATTCACAGCTGGCAATTCCAAACTACATAATGTGATATTGCCATTAATTTAGATTTGCAGACAAAGCTTTATGCCTAAATTACTTAGACGACATCACGCAAAACTTAGAAAGGTGAGAGAACAAAGTCAGATAAGCATAAACTAATAAACCATCGTCGGTCAATCGATGCGGATTACCTGTATTCCGGGATGTGCGACCTGTGCACTTTGCTGCTTAAAAGCATCGAGATATTGCTGCTGTTTATGGTGACAAGTGACATCCTCAATGGCGGCCACGTCGCTCAGAAGCCTGGCACTTTGTATCACCGCCCCACTGCCATATTTTTGACTGCAAAGCAGAGCCGCCGGATAACGGGAAACCACCAGCTAAACGATATCTTATGTACAACGTTTACCACGGTGTCTTAAAAAAGCGTCTTTTTCATCACTTACTTTGGACGCCATCACGTAAAGGCTGTTAACACCGATTTAACGACCACACTAACGAAAGCACATTACATAGGTTTCACACAGCTGCATAAAAAACAACTCCCCTGACGATCTTTCATGTCAGTAGGACAACTACTTATGGCGAAATGGAATGGCGGAAAGTGATTTTACTGAAAAATGACACAAACTTGCCAAAATGTCTTCAGTAAATTATCTTTAGAGAATATTCGTAGGCTAATTTTTGAATAATCGTCAATAAATGCAACATTTTGTATGGTTTCCTTGACATGAAAATATTTTCGTTTCCGAATGACTCATAAAGCATGACCTCTCCGACAGCTCATTGATCGATTTCTTGCTCTCGATTGCCCAGAGGAGATGTACGCCTGAGCAGATCGCAGCTCAATGGCATCTTAATAATAGCAGAGCTAAGTGTGCTTCACATCATTTTGTTCGCTTGAGCAACAAAATGTTCATCATAACGATTTTTAGAAGCCGCTTTATACGCTATCCAATAAAGTCTAAATACGGCCGGATGCCGAGGTTGACATATGGCCATAATTTTTCGACGAACATATCATAGGCAAACTGCAGCGTATGATGCGTGCATTTTGATACGGCAATCCGATTTGACCAACCAACTGGCTGACTTATGGTCGCTACATGATGTAATCCCGTTAATTAAATCTATCACGAAAAAGGTGCTGCGCTAAGTGAGTCTAGGTGACTTAGGAGTGTAGACTTACGCAGTTGGATTGCATTGGCGACAATGGATACAACTAAAAATTATACAAAATTAAGAAAAGTATGAATCAGCTGCGATTACCAACTCATTATACGAGAGTTGCTTGACATATACAAGAACCAAAGCAATTTTGCGATTAAGGAGTATTGTGGAATCGTCAACTCATACCGTAAAAAGAATAATTATATGGTACTTTCAGGCTGTGCAACTTGGCAAACAATGAATCTCCATAAAGGGGGCTAATGATTAAATGCTTCACGAACCTTTCTGTATTCACCGCCTAAAAAGGCGATGGCTTCCTGAGGTTCCTTAGGACATTTAACTGTGATGCACAGTTTTCTCATCACAGTCTTGTTATCAAGATATTTGCTTTTTATTTTGCAGTTAAATTTTTGATAACATCGTTATCCATTATTTCGCCTGCAACTGCTTATCGTTCATTTTCTGTGTCTATTTTGCAACTAACCCCACACCTACAGCGACAACGGACTGTTGCACATAATGGTGAATGCATCACTGAATAAATAGCTATCAGGTGAGTCAGAGCAAAGTATCTGAGGTGTGGTTTATTATTTTAACCAGTAGGTGAATCGGCGATATTTGCTTTAACGAATTAGTCGACAACCGAGGTACTCAACGCTGCAGTACCTTACTTGGTTGTATTTTTTGTTTTTCCTCGAGTTCTATTTTACAGCATGCATTTGCTATTGTGCCACCTGACACAAATGCTTTCCTTGCGCCTCTGAACTGAATCCGCGAATCCGATTCCAATAAGCTGGTCATCACAATTGTGGACAGTTTCACCAAGCTTAGTCTTTCCTGCAGGTGAAGAATCACCGTGAGATACAGGAATGTTAAAACTTGCTCTGTATTGGACAGTGGTGAGATACTGGTGAATCCATTTTGATTCATTTTACCAATAAATTAAATATATGCATGAAAACGCATTCAGTTCAATAATTCGTTTATGACGTTTAGGTTTAAATCAGTGCCTCGCTCCGCCTTGAACTTCTTCGGAAGATGCGCCGTGCATATTATTTAATTTATTTTGGAGTTTCGATCAGAATGGTTGAAATTCGTTTCAGCTTACGGTTATAATTATTAAATGGAGATTTTTTGCTGGACTAAATAGACCAAGCGTTTTGTATTTTTCAGCTTAACCGCAAACGTAGGAGTATTATAATCAGTATTTAAATCAATGGCATGCTAACCACAGCCATGCGCAGAGGTTTCAGTTGAATATGGTCTTCCTCGCAAAACACAATTCCATCGGTCGCTGAAATATTTCTGAAAATATTGAACGGATAAACATTACCTTTTGCTCAGAGCGAATACACTGTCGTAGATTAGCAATCCGTCATAAGGGTCATTTCAGACTGGAGTCCGTAATGCTTTCTTCGAGATGTGCAATCGAATCGACACATTCTTAATCTGATTGTGGTGTTGCCTAGACCCCCGAAGCCCAATTGTTATGGCTTTGTTACCCATAAGCATCGTGGTTTTCAGCTTATTTTCATCAAACACAGATCATTGAATATGCTATTGTGCCCTTCACAATAATATACGACCAACATTTTGTTCGTTGCCTGCTTTCGTCATACTTGACTGATCAGAATAATATGCAGTTCAGTAAATTTGAGACTCGATTTATGGTTCGCAATGAATTGAACGAGAAAATTTCTGCGTTGACACATGTTTAATAATATTATTATAATACAATAATATTGCGCACGCCTTGCAGTTTTTGATTCATAGTTTGAGGCTACTTGACAACCACCAACATTTTATGCATATAATTGTTATATCTCATTCCTAACGCCGGTTATACGTTAACGTTAAGCAAAGTGAACGCTAAGTACAATTGTACCTTATTCTGAAGTTGCAACTGAACCACCAAGGAAATACGTTCGTTAAAACACAAAAGTTTAGATTGTGGATATTTATTACAACAGGGCTCAAATCAGGAAATCAAGGAACTTAAAACCTTGTGCGATTATTAGTAAAGAATTGGGGACCACTTTAGATGTGGCCTAGCGGATCTCATTAAGAGTACAAGTTATCCTTGCAGTTGTGATTCATGCCATGCATTGAGAAGAACGGTTATCATTTATGACTGAAATAAATGGCAGTTGAAAGTGTTCCACAAAAAATTCAAAGTTAGGTGATCAATATTTAGCAGCGCTCAGAGACTTTAAGATAGCCTTCGATGAACGACGGCATTATTGGAGTAGCTTTCCGTTTCAGCTCCTCTTATTCAGAAAACAATGAACATTTTTGTAAACAATCGATCACACCTTCTAATAAACGAAATGATTTTACATGAACAACAATCGCTCAACTACAGACCTTGAGCATCTGAAAAACATTCAAATATAGGCCGAAACAACGAGGTCTGATGTCGTAAGTGGTAAGGCAATGGACGAACGCTAGGCATGAATAATTGTGCATATGTATTTTTGTCTCCATATGGCCATAGATGCAATCGGGACTCATCTGGTGGTCATAGACAGTCTGGCTAAACAGGGATGAGCATTACACCGTAGTGATTATTGATTCCTCCTTCTTCGAAAGAACTTTCTTTTCATGCAACGAATGAGAAACACAGACATGACTCAGTCATACGACTGACTAATACTCAAGACCTCCGGGATTGTGCGTAGGGGAGAAAGGAAGGATGCTTCTGTCGATGGTCAGAGTGAACCGGCATCATCAGAAAAAGACACTGGTTGAACAGGCATTACTCATCGAGTCCTGCGACAGCGTCTCCTGGGACAATGGATGTGAACTCTGAGCGAATTAAATGAACATGGTCGTCCCTGTGGTCAGAACGTTACTAAACCGACAGAATGGAACAAACTCTCACCTTCTGACTCTGAACGTACCAACTGCTACAGTCGGTAAGTAAGTGGTTTGAAGTTCATCCAACTTTTTGCCGCAAAGAAGGCCGAAACATCGGTACTGGTCAATCGTTCAATTTATAGAACCATTTTCGTCGTTCATACAGAAGCCGTGTTGCGCATATGTGAATTGAAATATGAGTTATCGTATTTTATTCAAAGGCAGGGGGCAATATGCGTATTAACCGCCATATTCAATGAATATGAATATTTTTCTACCTCACCCTCTGAATTGCTGGCGATGTTCCTTTCCGCGATGATCAGCAGTTCCCTGTCACGAAAATCACACAACCTTCTTCAGCCTCCGTTACATGCGTCAGTGACTGATCCGAGCAATCGAAAAATCGAAACGCTCATCGAGGAGTTGTTTTCAGCCGGGATCCAATTCCGTTCCCACCTTTTACTCCGTTGGCTATGGAGCGAACGGCTTATTTGGCTAAAGCTAAACGAACTGCGAGATTTGAAAGTGCCGATTAACTACGTACTCAGACCTAACTTTGCAATCAATGGCTTGTGGCGCAGTTGTTTGATTTCTCTGGAGAGCCGTTTCACAAGAAATCACTCAAAGAATTGACTCTCTATCGATTGGTGTTCTGTAGATTTTAGAATAACAAGTCCCCGAGGTCAATTATCAATGAAGGAAAAGTTCACAGGGGCATGGCCAAGTCAGCTTTTAGTTCTGCATCGACTAGTGAGGAATTAAAGCTTTAACACAGTTAGTTGATGAGCGTAAATTGCATGATCTACTTCTGTGATTACCAGCTTCACATGGCGATGGTGAAGGTGTACATATGCCACGTGTTCAAACCCCGTTCCAACAGGGCTTTGAAAACAGCATGTCTTTTGTGAACTAAATTAAGAGATTAATTGATATTGAGAGCATTGTTTTTGGAGAAATATTGGAAGCTGTTTTGCAGCTGACGGCAGAGGGGCCACATGATTGAAAGTTCGGTACTAAATTCTACTGGTTTAAACTTGAGGCTTTGTTTATGTTTGTTAACCCCGTTGTTGATTTATGCAGTGGTGAGTTAGCATAGTGTATAGGAGCACTGGTTCGAACCGCAGAGGTGAAGGGTTGGATTGCCCTCGAGGGAAGTTTTTGTCTGATTCGCCAGTTCCCTCAAGCGAAGAATACGCCACACTGCATCAGACAGTGGTTCTTCAGTCACTAGGGCGTCGAACTCAGAGTCCATAGAGACCGAATTTAAGCTCAGGTCGAATTCACTCGCCGTTGTTCCTTCCAAAGTTGAAAACTGAGTACAACTCTAAAGAAAGGTAACAGGAGACTCTACGTTGCGCTTGCCACATGGCTGTAGACTGCTTTTAAAAAAGTAGGGCACTCCTGGCTAATGGCATAGAAACAAAGATCAGCG